AAGATGATATTATTCGGTGTTTGATGATATACTACAACACTTTAACCCAATATTGAGAAGTAGAACTACTCTACAATAAATGTATGGAAATTATATTTTGATTTATAAAATGCTAACACACAACTGTGTGCAAATATTACATATTACAGGGTACATAACACATGATGGAGTTATAAGCAACATCCAGAATTATGGTGAATTGAGAACCAAATATGTAGGCTAAAATAGTCAAATATGTGTGACTATCCAAAATTGAGATCTTTATCCAAATCAGCTATTTTATCTAACTGCAATTCGCTTAAATATTAAATAAAACTTAAGTGAACAAAATCCCATTAAGAGAAAGAGAGAAGGGAGAGGAAGGGAGAATACTTATTCTATTCAGTGAATTGTCAGCTTAGTGTTAATGAGTTAAAAGGAATTTGTACTAGGCATGGCAGCTCATAGGCAACTGCTAATTGACAGCTAGTAAGTGTCATTAGCATATCTACAAGCTTAAATATGTGGCAAAACCATTATTGTTGAGGGCAGTTTGTAACTTTCCAGGACCAGAACATGAGGGATCTATTCACTAAACAGGGAGTTGTGGTAAACTGAGAACGATTTGCTAATTAAGGCCATAGCTAAAAAGTTGGAGCTAGAACCAACGCTTCTAAAATGGAGCTTATGGTTTAACTTTAACTTTACTATTCAGTATATGATTTGAAAGTTGGTTATCAACTAATCAGATCTCACTGTTTAGTGATCAGAGCCCTGGATTTCTAAATAAACTCATAGTCTATCTGGGCGCAAAACATTGGCATTTTTTTCTGCAGAGAAAGGGCAATATACTCAAATTGATTGTTTATCAAGCTAATTAATGTGGCTTGGCATTACCTGCTGGGTGAATTTGCTAGATCACATTAAATCTGCTGAATAATATGATCAGCCATAAAATGTATAGGGTACGAACTGGTAAATTACATGGATGTGTGCCCCATCATTACTGTTTACCCCAGAGAGTGTTGGTTCTGCATTTCTGTCTCAAAATATTTTTAGACTGCATAATTTATATATTTGTAGACGATCTCACCTGAAAATCTCATAGACAGTTCTCTCTCTCAAAAAAAAGAGAGAAATTAACTAATTGCCTGACAGAGGTATTCATCTAATATTCTGTAATATATTATCAGCAATCCCTTTAGAACCAATGTCAATGAAGAGAAATCATGGCATAAATGGATGTGCATTACCTTTGGTCCACAGAGAATTAAATATGCAATATTGAGTGTTCTTGAAATGTATTCTTATAACATGGACATGAAAGAGTTAAGCAGTAGGTTTTACAGGAAACTAACATGGCATTTTTCATGTCTGTTCAGGAAAATACCTACATATAGGTTTTCAGTGAGAGTGTACCACGGTATACTGACACTTGGTTCTGTTGGAGAGAAACTATTAACTCTTGACAAGTAGACTTGTCCCTTTCATTGGCTGACCAGCATCCATGTATCATAACCTGTGAAACATCTGGTTCTATTTACAGAAAAGCAGATACATTTTATTGTGTCTGCAATTTCATTGCAGCTTCTATAACACAGCATTCCCTAGGAATTGGTGACAGCATTGCTCTGGCTGACAGAGTAGCATTGTACTTGCCTTTGATGTACACATCATCGTCTGCTCTCATGAACCACTCATACTTGTCCAGGTAGTTATCATGCATGTGCTTGATCATCATAAAGGATTTCTTTTGTGGAGGGTAAGAGTCGTCCACCCCAGACAGAGAAATGACTGGCATTGGCTCTGGGAGCACGACATCCTCAGAACCCTCACTGGAGAAAAACTCCACTTTGCCAGGGATATAACGAGCCCATGTCCTATAGGCAGCAACGGCTCTGGTATCCAGATACTTTTTTGCTGTCATGACCCCAACATAGAGAAAATTTCTTGGGGATTCTTCTGGGGGACCCCAATCCCCACTACCATTGTGGTTCCCCCTGTGACTGCTTGTATTGTTTCTGCTCTCTTTCATTTTCTTCATCTCTTCTTCATCTTCAGGTCCAGTGGCCGGGCTGCTGTTTGGCACCAAGCCCTTCCCTGGCCATGGGTCACCCCTCTCAGCAGTCCTCATCCCACCAGGTGGACCTTGTGCCCTGTCCCCTCCACGGCTGTAATAGGAGCAAACGTTGGACCGTCGCTTCTTCTCGCTCATCTCTGCTACTTTGGGGGCGACCAGCCAAGACGCCGCTGTAAATCCAAGGATCAACCCCACCACCACACTCATCCATGGTCTCCTGGACCTCACTGCCATCCTCTTACTTCTGGAGAGAAGTATACACTGATGCTTTGTTAAGGATTCTCTCTCTCTTTCTCTCAGGACCCTGGAACAGACAGACCTTCAGTTACAGAGAGAGAGGAAATAAAACAATCAGTAGGAATCACAGAACTAGAGGAAGAAGAAGGGATTCTGCCTCTGCCTTTGTGCCTCAGATCACTCCTTCAATCCAGACTCCTGGCAGGACTTCCAGCGCCTGCCATCAATGCCTGCTGCTTTGTTAGGAGTAAAAGTTGCCGGGCAGAGGGAGGCTGGAGGAGCCGTGAGGCAGCAGAGTCTGGGCTGCCAGCTTGTCACTGCTACAAGCACCTCCTCCTAGCCCTGTGCAAGGAGCTGCAGCTGCAGCTGTTCATCCACCTCCTCCTGCTCCACCTTCTCCCTCTGCTCCCATCAACCCAGCCAGCAGCTCCTCCACATCCTGGAGTGCTCATCCCACCTTTGCCAGTCTCCCCCCTGACCAGTGACCCACCCCCTCTTTTCTGCACACTCTCTATGGCTGCTCAGTGAGTTGAACAGATTGGTCCCATACTGTCCCAGCCTAATAGAGAGGTATAGAGAGTTGACAAGCCAGTTCCTCCTTCCTCTCAGCAACACACCAACTCTTCCTGCATCATGTCCCCCCAACCACCTTCAGCGTTTGTATCTCCATAGGAGGGGGGCTGCCTGTTAGCAGCAGTGTCTGTTCTCCAGTGTCTGACAGTCTGAGGGTGGGAGGGGGAGCAGCCCATGTGCTTGCTGCAGGTTTCCTCCCAGTTCTGCATGTGGAACAATGTAACTGTTTCTGTTAGGCTCAGTATTCTTATTATTAACGTTATCGATTGTTAACTCTTTCACAGTTACTTCATCCAAATAAACATTTACTAAACCTTTTACCTGCGCTCTTTCCTTAATCCATGTGTATATTTAGACAAATGGAAGTCATTTAGTTGCTCCAGGGGCCATTGGAGGGAATGCCCGCCTATTAGGGGTTAATAAGTATATAGGGGTGTACATAGGGATTAAGGAGAGAGCGCAGGTAACTTGTTTTTCTTTGGTTTTTACTATATCTTGGGGCTGATGTGTACTGTAGTCATTGCTGCCGGCCCAGCAGTGATGGGAGTGAGCGCAGGACTTCTCTTTTTGTATTTACTAAACCTGTGCTGAGGTAATAGCTCAGTTTAGAGCAGCTTTTCCCAAATGGTGTTCCATGGACCCCTGGGGTTCTGTGAAAACAAAAATGGGGTTCAGCCGCGATTTGCCCATCTGGTGGCCCATACACTTAGCGCCACCCGTTGGGAATTGCTGAACACCTTTAGTATCGGATGCTGGGAGAAAGTTACAGCTGGTTACTTCCTCCCAGACGTAGAAACAACGCGTGCGGAGGGATAGAGGCAAAGGTGGTGGGAAGTGAGATGCTGCAGACACACCAGGCTCAGCCAGCAGCACTCCAAGAAAGCTATCCTCCTGCAGACAAAGGCTTTGCTAGCAGGAGGGTGGCTGCAAATATAAAACTCTTGGTATGTGTGTATCTGTCAGTGTGTGTGTGTATCTGAGTTTGTGTGTATATCTGCGTGTCACGGTGTGTGTATGTGCCATTGTGTCTATATGCCAGTTTATGTATCTGTGTGTCAGTGTGTGTATGTGCCAGTGTGTGTTTATCTGTGTGTCAAGGTGTGTGTATGTGTATATGTCACTGTGTATATCCATGTGTCAGTGTGTATTTGTGTGTTTAGGTGTGTGCATGTGTCACTGGGTATATCTGAGTGTGTATATGTTGCAATGTGTGTATGTGTGTCAGTGTATTTATCTGTGTGCCAATGTGTGTGCATGTCTCAAGGTGTGTGCATGTGTCAGTGTGTGTATCTTTGTGCCTGTGTGTGGACGTGTTGGTGTGTTTATATGTGTGCATCTGTGTTAATGGGTTTGTTTATTTGTGTAAGTATTTATGTATGTGGTAGTATATGTGCATGCATCTCTGGTAGTATATGTGCATACATCCCAGCAATCAAACACTGCAACATGCAAACACATCACTGCAAACACAACACAACCTTCACTCAAACAGCAATACTACACACATATACATCCACATTTAAAAGCCAACACTACATCCAAACACACGCCTCCACGCAAATGAAAACTTTACATCCAAACACGCTTGTGTCTTAAAATGCTAAAATTACATAAAAACACCAGCACTTCTGTACTGTATTACAATCTGTTTACTATCGGAAGAAATTACTATATATACAGGTGCCTCATTCCAGGACCCTATTTAGCCTTGACTTGCAGAGAGTCCCAGTATTTCCCAAGTAAGTGGATTAATCTCATAAGAGCAAGCATTAGGTTGCTACTAGGATAGGACCTGCCAAATATGGGGTACTTTGACGTAGTTGGCAGGCTAATGCAATGTATGATCATATAATATAACTAAGCCTCCATCATTTTTTTCCTAGGTGAGGTGTTTTTAAATAAAACTATTACAATCTCTAAGATTTGAAATCATTGTTTAGTGGATAAGCGAGTGAGCTGGATTCTGTATATATATATATATATATATATATATATATATATATATATATAAATTTCCAAAAAAGGAAACATTACATACACTCTTCTAATTAAAAAGTTTATGCAAAAAATTTTTGGGGTTCCACGATGTTGGTACAGTATGTCAAAGGGTTCCACAGGAAACATTAATTGGGAACTCCTGGTTTAGAGCATTGTATTTCCTTTTGCAGGAGATCTAGTTATACATTTTAGTTAGTGCTGGTCATTTTTATGAAATCTTTGTCAATATTGAATTTAATAATATGCTGCATATTTATATTAAACTTATAAAGAACGGAAGGGATATTTAAATATAGCTCCCTCAGATCTAGTGTGAATAATATGAGAATGATACATATACTGTATATAGGATCCGTAAGCTAGCCATTCATTACATAGAAAATTGATTAAAATGTTACAAACTATTTCTTTGTAAAGGCTAGACACCCCATTTGTTAGGAAAAACTATGCCATTAGTAAACAAGATCTTGCACGAATAAACTTTATTGTTTATTTATGCCACAGACAGGTCACATGATAAACCAAATCCTATTAAAGGTATCTATAGAATCAGTTGTCCCTAAAAGGGAAGGTAATGATACCCAATCTTCTATCTATATATTTATATATATATATATTAGTGAGGCTCAACCATTTATTGAAGAGCAAAAGCAGGTCTTTTAGAAAGCCTTGTATGCTGCAGGTATCATAAGGGCCTATTGCCTAAACATTGCACATTCCACCTCATAAGAGGTAAACACAAGCCCCTCGAGAGGAGCTATAAAGATCTCTACATACATTGCTGTTCCATCTATTTACTATAGGGACTTTTTCTTCAGTGTGATTGTTATTAATATTTAGCTGTTCAATGTTGCTGCTGCAAGGTTTAGCCACGCCTTATATATATTGAAGATATGACATCATTACCTTCTCCTTTAGAAACAACTGATTGATTGTTCTGCACAGTGACTCAGTAAAAAGGCATACTACAGACACTGTTATTGGGATTTGGTTTATACAATATATATGTGACCTTTCTGTGGCATAATGAAACATTAAATCCATTATTGAGTGATCTCTTTTCCTACATGTATATTTTCCCCTAACAGATAGGGTATCTAACCTTTACAAGGGAATAGTTTTTAATAACCCATTCGTGACACGAGGGCGTGCTATGCCTTTCTGCAATAGGAGGTCTTTAACACGCCCTTATGATCTAGTGCTCCCTCCGATCCACCTATGTATCTCCGCCAATGATTTTTAACATTGGCTGAAACATTGTTTTCTGCCCCTCTCTTTCCTCACTTTGAGGCAAGAGACATAGAAATCATTGCTAAACTGCCCCCTTACATAGAAACATATAATTTGACGGCAGATAAGAACCATTTGGCCCATCTAGTCTGCCCAATTTTCTAAATACTTTTATTAGTCCCTGGCCTTATTTTATAGTTAGGATAGCCTTATGCCTATCCCACGCATGCTTAAACTCCTTTACTGTGTTAACCTCTTACCACTTCAGCTGGAAGGTTATTCTATGCATCCACTACCCTCTCAGTAAAGTAATATGTTCTGATATTATTTTTAAACCTTTGCCCCTCTTATTTACCACTTGTTGTGGTAGTTTTTTTCTTTTAAATATAGTCTCCTTCTTTACTCTGTTGATTCCCTTTATGTATTTAAATGTTTTTATCATATCACCCTGTCTTGTCTTTCCTCCAAGCTATACATGTTAAGTTCCTTTAACCTTTCCTTGTAAGTTTTATCCTGCAATCCATGAACCAGTTTAGTAGCCCTTCTCTGAACTCTCTCTAAGGTATCAATATCCTTCTGAAGATATGGTCTCCAGTACTGCGTACAATACTCCAAGTGAGGTCTCACCAGTGTTCTGTACAATGGCATGAACACTTCCCTCTTTCTACTGCTAATACCTATTCCCATATAACCAAGCATTCTGCTAGCATTTCCTGCTGCTCTTTTACATTGTCGCCTGCCTTTTAAGTCATCAGAAATAATTACCCCTAAATCCCTCTCCTCAGGTGTTGAGGTTAGGACTCTATCAAATATTCTGTACTTTGCCCTTGGGTTTTTACGTCCAGGATGTATTATCTTGAACTTATCCACATTAAATGTTAGTTGCCACAACTCTGACCAATCATTTGCCATTTGGCTTATCCCTCCTGGAACATCAACCCTGTTTCATATCTTAGTAACATCAGCAAAAAGACATACCTTACCATGAAGACCTTCTGCAATATCACTAATAAAAATATTAAAGAAAATGGGTCCAAGTACAAATCCCTGAGATACCCCACTAGTGACAAGCCCATGCTTCGAATATACTCTATTGACTACAACCCTCTCTTGCTTGTCGCTCAGGCACTGCCTTACCCATTCAACAATATTGTAGTCCAAACTTAAAGATTGCAGTTTATTGATAAGCCTTGTTTAGTTACCCTATCAAAAAAAATCAATAAGATTAGTTTGGCATCATCTCCCTGAAGTAAACCCATGTTGTCTCTGATCTTGAAATTCATGTGATTTTTAGATGTTCAACAATCCTGTCCTTTAACATGGTTTCCATTACTTTCCTCACTTCTTGTGAATGGGCACAACATTCGCTAACTTCCAATCTTCTGGGACTACTCCTGTTAACAATGATTGGTTAAATAAATCCCTTAATGGTTTTGCTAGTACACCACTAAACTCTTTTAATAACTTTGGGTGTATTCCATCAGGTCCCATTGACTTATTTGTGTTTCATTTTGACAGTTGAAGTAGAACCTCTTCCTCTGTAAACTCACATGTAACAAATGACTCATTTGTCCTTTTTCCTTCATTTTCATCTGTAAATACTGAACAAAAATATTAATTGAGGCAGTCAGCTAGACATTTATCCTCTTCTACATACCTACCTTCTTTAATCTAACTAATCCTTGTTTTACTTTCCTTTTCTCATGTATGTATCTAAAAAGTGTTTTGTACACTTTTTTTACTGACTGTGTTATTTTTTCTACCGTGTGTGATTTGGAAGCTCTTAGAACTTGCTTAGCCTCTTTCTGCCTAATCTTATAGATGTGTCTAGCTTCCTCACTCTGTTTTGTTTTATAATTACTAAATGCTAACTTTTTGTTTTTTACTATTTTGGCCACATCTGCGGCGTAGTGGTTTCTTGAATTGTTTTGCTTTTACTGACAAGCCTAATGCAATTTTCTGTTACCTTCAGCAGTGCAACTTTTAAATAATCCCATTTCTCTTGGACTCCATTTAAATTGCTCCAGTCTGATAATGACGCCTTTACACATATTCTAGTTTTTAAAAAGTCTGTTTTTAAAGTCACCCATGATGATAACTTCCCCCTTCATTGTCATTTTAGCTATTTCCTCAACTAGTAGATTATCTAACTCTTCTATTTGTCCTGGGGGCCTATAAACCATACCTACATGAGTTACTGTGTGATTACCAAATTCTAATGTAACCCAAACAGACTCTATGTGCGCCTCAGTAACTTTTATTAGGCTAGATTGTATGCTATCCTTTACATACAGGGCCACCCCTCCCCTTTCTTGCCTTCCCTGTCTTTTCCATATAAAGTGTACTCTGGTATTGCTATGTCCCAGTCATGTTTCACATTATACCATGTCTCAGTAACAGCGACTAAATATACATTATCATTTGCCATTGTTGCCACAATTTCATGGATCTTAGTCCCTAAACTGCGAGCATTTGTAGACTTACTGTTAAAACATTTTTTTAAATATAAATAAATGTTGTTTGTTTGTTTTTTAAATCCTTTCAGCGCTGATCATGGTGTTAACCCTGTGATCAGATTGTATACGATGATTAGTACCTTGGTACTAATGTCAATTTCTTTTTTGGGTATAAAATTGACTTTTTTTACCCTTTTTGTCAGCTACAGCAGTTTTTTATTTTTTTAAACCCATTTTCTGCTCTCTGATTACTGTTGTTTACAGTATCTGTGCTATACAATACTGTATCAGTGTGATTATTTTCATTTTTGGAGTGTGTGGAAGTGGGAATTGGTGGGTGAATGAGGTAGTAGTTATTAGGCAGATAGGAGCATTAAATCCCCAGAGATAGCATCTGACCAGATGAAACTTTACTGGCCCAGAATTAACCCCATTCATGGCTACACCTGGCGTCACACTACACTTGACATCACAACAACTATAGATGTTTTTGAGGCAGTGAACTATTTTAGGCTGTTTATGTCGAATGACGTATTTCAGTTGATGGCTGAACAAACCAACCTGTATGTCAGTTAGTATCTGTCTGCAAATTCAGGGTCATGCTACAGTAGGAAAACATGTGGCACCCCACTGATGTTGCAAAAATGATGACATTTTGGGCTCTAACGCTGGTAACGGGTATTATGTAAAAGCCAAGTGCCAGGTCCGACTGGCACAAGCACCCCATCCTGGCTACCTCTCTTTTTCCAGGGGTTATGAAGAGAGACCACTATGAGCAAATGCTGTGATTCCTGAATTTTAACGATAACACACTGTCCCCCCTAAAAATGACTCATTGTTTGACAGGCTCTACCAAATTTGGACCCTTATCCAACTCCTGTCTGACAAAATTTTCCAATATTATATTCCAGACCAAAAATTCTGTATTAAGAATGAAATTTAAAGGTAGACTGCTTTTCAAAGAATATATCACACGGAAGCAGTCACAATATGGCAAGCTTCCCCAAACTCCGACCCTCCAGATGTTGCTGAACTACAACTCCCATGATTCTCATCTAATCTTTTTCATTCATAGAATCATGCTAGTTGTAGTTCAGCAACATCTGGAGGGCCAGAGTTTGGGGAAGCCTGCAATTTGTCATTACATTTTATACATTTTGCTAATGCACTACTGGCACCCCACTGGCATGATTTAACAATGGAAGGATAGCCATCTTGACCCAACAAGATGCCATGGTTCTGTGTGCACAAATGGCAAGCTAACGTGGGATCTGATACTTCATTTGTTAAATAAGGGTTATCATCTATGTGTTGATAATTCTTATACCAGTATTAATTTATTAAAAAATATATTTTGTTTGGAAACCCTAGCAAGTTTCACACTGTCTAAAACACACAGGAGTTTTCCCTAAATTCTGTCAAGGGACAGAGAAAATAGAAGCTTGACTACATCTCTACACCAGGTTAAGGTCCTGAGGTGCTGGCCCTATGAAACACAGATAAGAAAATGTGTACATAGTGTCATCAATGCACAATGAATGTACAGTGCCAGTATCTGTCAGAGGAAATACTGAGCGGCTGGAAAAACCGAAGTACATTGCAGACTACACCAAGTATATGGTGAACCGAACAACTAAGTCCTGGTACAAGAAAATAGCAATATTCTTAATCCAAGCTG